ACTATGCTATAGTGCTCTGTGTAGGTATGCGTGTTGGTTAATCCAAAATCCAACATATAAATACACTTCTACCTCCCTCACAGAATAAACAAAAGTACATACATACACGAGGGGGTTTCAAAAAGTTGATGGAAAAATTGCATTGTTTTAAATGTTCATTCTTTCACTAACTTTTGGAAGTTCTATTTATATATCTCATTTTTCTAGCACAATTTCTTAAAATGACATTTTTTTCTTCATTTTGCTCTGGACCGCTGCATGTGTTTGTGTGTGGGGTGGGGGTGGGGGGACGGTGCGGAGAAATCACATTATAAGTACAGGTTTTATTTCTGGGCTCTCCTTTGCCCTACCGTCTATCTATTCATATACCAATAACACAGTGTCTGATTATTGTAGCTTTATAGTAAGTTCAGGTCAGGTGGATTAAATGTGCCAACTTTGTTCTCTACAAGATTGCTTTGGGGGCAATGAATGTACAAATGTGCTTTACACAATTGATGTATGGATTGTGATGAGTTGTATGAGCCCCTAATAAAATGATTAAAAAAAAGGATGGCTTTGGATATCTAAGTCTTTTGCATTTAAATATAATCTTACAATCACTGTCAATTTCTATGCTAAGTTTTTTTATTGGGGTTCTTCTGAATCTAGAAACTAAATGTAGAGAATTGATGTCCTAACAATATCAAGTTTTCCAATTAAAAAACATAGTGCCTGATTTAATAAAGCAAAAACAAAATAAATGCAGAGAGACTGAAACTCTTATAGGCTGCCGGTGGGCTTGTAAACATGCATAACCACTGTGGAAAGCAATATGGTCATACCTAAAACAACTGAGAATAAACCCCCAGCAGATGACAGCAATACCTCTACTGGGTATTTACCCCAAAACAGTAAGAGACACAACAAATAAATATATGTTCTCCCATTTTTATCACAGCACAGTTCAGTTAAGAAGCCAGAAACAGCCCAAATGCCCAAGAATTAATAAAGAAACTGTAGTACAGACACACAATGGAATAAATTCCTTAAAAATGATGAAAGGAACTGAAATACTCCTTTAGACTTAAGACCAAAACAATCTCATGTGAGAAGCAGCCAAGGGTATGGATTTGGAAGTCATTGAACTTTGGTTCAAACGTCTTGCTTTGGGTGCCCAATAAATGGCAACCCAAGACTACCATATTTTTGCTATTTTCATACTCTTCGCTTTTTTATGAGATGACTTAGTCCAGTAGGTATAGTTCTACTTTTGTGAGTAAACCAGATTGAAAGTTTTATCTTCTCTAACACCGCTGGTTTGCATAAAGAGTGTCTGGTCACTTACAATTTTAATCTGTACAAGTCGACAATCCATGTACTTTAGTCTTAAAAAGTTCTTATACATGTCTCTTTTCCTTTTCTAAAGAATATTTTAAATTCTATACCATTGGCTAAATGAATACTACTACCAATTGAATTACTGTATCAGGATGACTTATACTATTCCCCAATAAAATGATAATGAGATCTCTAAAATAGATTAGGGATATATAAAAATCAAAGTTATATGAATGGATTTTGAGCTTGCACTTAAATTGTACCCTTAATCTAAGAACAATTAGTTCTTTTTTTAAACTTTGTGTTGTAATAGTTTTATTTGCATACCATTCACAAATCATACAATAGTTCGATCATATTAAGAGTTGTACAATCATCACAATCAATTTTAAAACATTTTCTTCTTTCTTGAACTCATTGTTATTAGCTTCCATCTTCCCTCAAGCTCCCCTGCCATACCCAAAGGAACCATTAATCCGGTTAGTGTTTCTCTAGATCTACCTATACAGGATTTCATAGACAGAAAAACATTCAAAACAAACTAACTAACAACAGTAACAAAGTGAAAGAGAAAAACTTCAATTAAAAACAGCAGAAAATATCATGAGTTGGATAAATCCAAAATGGGTCAAAAGGGAAACCAAGTGATAAGGCATTAAATTTTAATCGGACTGCAGCTGCAATATTCCACTTTCCAACACATTCTAGCAGGATAGTAAAGCTATCCACATCTTTGGTCGACGGTCACAGGGTATTCACCAGAGGTTTAGGCCCCATGTATATCCTCTTCATTTTTTTTTAACTGAAACTACCTTAAAATGGATCAAAGTGGCAGATCAAATGGTAAGATAATATATCTTAACCTAACTATAGCTGCCATAATTGATTTTACAATGCTCTGATAACAAACTATTCACATTCCTCAATTATGGTTGGAGGGGGTTCACTGGAGGCTTAACCCATATAGGAACCCTGCAAATGGATTTTGGGCTTCCACTGTCATCCATAGCCTTCTGCAAACTGTGTGTTCACAATTTAAGACCTTCCTCCTTCAGACTTTGATTTTATTATTTACAATCCTTGGATCACACAGGCTTCTGGTGTACTTCCATGTGGACTCAGTGGACGCCTCACTTAGAGGACTCCTTGTTTGTAAACAAACTTTTAAGACCCCCAGATGCTATTTTTTCTCATAGCTGGGCACCATCTACTTTCTTACCACACCATATCTCTAGTGATCTCAAACATAGAAAGTCCTACTTCCTTAAACCTGGCCATTTCTTCAAAGACTAGCATATTACTCATCATTGACGCACTCCCTAATTCTCCACCCAACACTTTCTCACTTTTACAAGCAACATTTCAAAGGTCACCCCAAAACTACTGTATAAAACTCGTATGTAAGCCAAGTTTCCCCAGCACATTTTTAATGCAGTTTTTATGATAAAATTAGGTGCCTCAGCTGATATTCGGGTCGGCTTACACTCAAGTATATTCGGTAAATTCAATGTTCTGCCATTTAGAACAATGGTTCAGACCGCCTCACTTCCTCCGCTGGGGGTAGAGGAGGAAGCGACACGCTGTGGGCTCTCACTGACCGAGGGTGGGATGGAGACGACCTTGGAGCAGTACCTGGAGGACACAATGAAGAACACATCCATTGTTGGCATCCTGTGCACAGACAGATTCCCAAGGACTGAACCTGGGCTGCCATGGGACCCTGTCGGATGACATGCTGGAGTGATATCTGTATTAGCCCAGCAAGCAGCTAAGCTAACCTCTGACCCCACTGATATCTGTGGTGTGTTTAGAATCAGATAATGGGAACATCATGGTCCAGAAACATGACGGCATCACGGTGGCACTGCACAAAATGGCCTCTTGACAGATCACTGCTCCACCCTGACATGATAGGATTTCTGTCTCCTGCAACTATTAAATTCCACAAGTTAGGCCATGGGGAAAGAAAAAAAAAAAAAAAAGAACAATGGCTCTCAACCTGTGGGTCGCAACCCCTTTGGGGGTTGAAGGACCCTTTCACAGGGGTCACCTGATTCGTAATAGTAGCAAAATGACAGTTACGAAGTAGCCACGAAAATAATTTCATGGCTGGGGGGTCAGTCACCACAACATGAGGAACTGTATGAAAGGGTTGCAGCATTAGGAAGGTTGAAAACCACTGATTTAGAAGGTGGCAGGGTGGTTCAGTAATCAGAATGCTTGAATTCTTGCAAGAGGCCTGGATTTGACTCTGCACCACAAGCACAGCCACGAGTCTGTCAGTAGAGGCTTGCGTGTCATGATACTGAACAAGTTTTACTGGAGTTTTTAAACTAAGAGATGGGATTAGAAAGAAAAGCCTGCTGATCAACTTCCAAAGAAACCAGCAAATGGAAACTTTATAAATCACCAGCTCATAGCAACCCTACACAGCAGGGTAGAATAGCTCTCATTATGGAAGTAGAAAGCCCTCTCTTTCTCCCCCGGTGCGTTGGTGGTTCCAAGGGCAGACCTTGTGATCTGGAGCAGGGTTTTTCGGCTCTGGCCTACTGACATTCTTTTGGGGTTATCACGGACACTGTAGGGGTAGTAAGCCGCACTCTGGCTCCAGCCCCTAGAGGCCAGTATACACCATTTCTAGTTGTGACAACCAAATTTCTTCGACATGGTTGAAATGTCCCCGGAAGCAAATTTTCCCCTAGTTCAGACCCACCAATTTAGATCTATATGTGCCAACAGAGATAAATGTGAAAGAATTTTAAGCACATAAAATAAAATTACAGTATAATAAATACTATTCACAAAGTTCACCAATATGCAGTATGTTATATATTGTTTGTGAATATATAGCAAAAACATACATAAGAATGATAAAATTATTGAAATCAAGATTGTGATAATCTCTAGAGGGAAGAAAAATATGATTAGGAAGGCTTACACCAAAATAAATACACAGAATAAATTGCCTCTTTTGAGAAAGAATAATCTAGAGCACATTTGGCAAAATATCAATGTTAAGACAGGCTAGTCAATGTGCATCCAGGACAGTTTTTCTCCACATTCTTGTGTGCCATTAAAATGTTAAAAAAGGGGATCACAATATAAATGCAATATGTTTAGGCTTAAAATGACAGCAAAACTCATTTAAAATCACGGAGAGGAACTAAGACAACACTTTAATATCAGTCTTCCCTTTGTCAATTCATTTCCCATTGTGAAAGTCATAGAACTGACAATAGCGCTTCTAATTAATTTATGCTGATGAGCAATATAGTGCTGCATTTAAAAGGTATTTTAAAAATAATTCAACTTTTGGTTAAGAGCCCAAAAGGAATATAATTCAACACAATTTAGCCACAGCTAAAAAACACCCAAATTGCGGGGTTTAAACTTAACACAGTCATTTTACATATTAGAGATGATAGTTTTACATAATTATACCTGAATATTACACCTTACAGAACTTAAGGGAATCAACGTTTTTTAATTCTAGAGGCACAAAGATGAAATTGTACTGAGATGCACTACAAATTACATAGGAACTTTGACCAACATTTCATACTAGCCATCTCCTTCTCTCTAAAAACAAACATCGACATTAAGGCATTTTTTCTGTAATTATTAAAATTTTCTCATTAATAATAGAGTTCTAATTACATAGCCAAAAGCATTATACTTACAAAGTCGTCTTCTTCAAACTGCAACTTTTCTGCCTTGTCTTCTTTCTTTTCTTCCCTAATCTCTGTAGGTGGTTTTTCCTGAAAGGCAGAGCCTTTCCGAGAGTGGAAGCTGCCATTCCAATGGCGATGGTTTCCTGTGCCACCCCCACTACGCTGGCTCATGCCATCATGACCCCGGGAAGAGCCATGCCAACCAGATAGGTTCCCTGTGATTCCAGTGTGCGTGCCTCCCTTAGAGACACCAGAGTCCACAGAATCATGACGGAACAGGGATGGCTGGTGCCAGGAATCTACAACAGTAAAAAAAAGTGAACACATTAGATTGTTTACTTCCTGGTAATTCATAAACTGAGTGCAGTTTATAGTACTGTCTAAAACCTTTCAGGAAATCTTTTCAATGAAAGATTAAATGAGTACATATTTTCATTTTAAGGTAATTTCTATATGTGTTCAGCTAAAAGTTTAATGAGAACATGTTATACTTAGCAAGCCAAAATAAGTGGGTGGTAACATAAGAGCATTTGAAAATCATGTTCACGAAAGAGCATATTGCAAAATTATGGGTATGTACTCCAGTGTCCATCACCTGTCAGTTTGACTAACAAGTTGCTATGATACTGGAAGACCTGTCACCTATACTTCAAATACCAGCAGGGTCACCCAGATTAGAAAGGTTTCAGAAATTTTCAGATTAAGAGTGGGAAGGGCCTGGTAAGCTACTTCCAGAAATTAACCAATGAAAGAAAATCCTACAGATAAAGAATACTCTCAGCTATAGTGCTGGAAGATTCATCCCTTAGGTTACGAGGCCTTTAAAATACATAGTGAACACAACAATGGATCCAAGTTTACCAATTAAGAAGAAACACAAGAGCAGGCAATATTTCGTTCAGTTATACATGGAGTCACCATGAATTGGAGCTGAGTCAATGGCAACTGTCAACAAACCCTGAAAAGCTTAAATGTAGTCATGAAATTTGGGCATGGCTAACCTCCTGTAATTCGAAGGGGTCCATTGTTGAAAAAGCCATCAGAGGAATTATGTCTACGACGGCTCACTCCAAATCTTCCTTCCCCTCGGGATAGGTGCTCTCCGAGTTTTTCAAAGGTATTTGCAGGTGACTAAGACAAAGCATAAAGAGGCAAACAGTTATGTAAGGATTCATCTATTTCAATCTCTTAACAGGTCATTTATCAGGCTTTTGGAAAACAATAATAATGGCAGAAATTCCGATTATGCATACATGACCCTCAAGAGTATAAACCTCTAAGTTCTACTTTACGTATTCAATCATTAACTCACTTCCTTTATTCCACAAAGGCGGACAAGGTTGCCATGATAATTACACCAAAAAAGGGGGAATTGCCAAACTTGTTAATATCATAAAGAATAAGCTCCCCTCCCCCAATTACACATTTTAAAACACTACTCTTGTAAAAGAAGAGAAAAATCACACCTGTATGTTTAAGTTCATTCCAATACCTAACAACCCAGTAAGACAAAACAGAGTGCAGCAGATTCTATAAAAGCAGAATGCTAAAATTCCCCACAGTGCGTGCCTGCCTTTCCGTTTAGTCAAATACTTAACCACAGCACCAATAGAGAGCTTTCTAGGAGAAAATAATATTGTAAAAACTTGATGGCAGGCCATTAGTAAACAAACTTTTTAGTTTGTGATCAATTCCAAGTTAATTTCTGGACATATGAAGATTTAAAGTTTTCTTTTGCCACTACAGAGAGAGGGACAGCTATGTGGCTATTCTACCATTATTTGTTAAAAGACTAACCTAACCGTTTACCTCATTAAATTACTCTCAAACTTCTGTCAAAAATCAACAGTTACTATATGTATAGGATAATTTTTGAATCCTGTCCCATTGCTTTGTATGTTCAATGGAAACATCACTTTACTTACTGTCATTTTACTGGAAATCTAACTCCTCTAGGCCATTCAATAGGGTTGCTACGAGTTATAATCGACTCGACAGCAGTGAGTAGTTGAGCTCCCAAAGCAGCAACCCTGCTGGCACAGGGATAATCTGCTAGCCAAAAGGTTGGTGGTTTTGACCCATCAGCCACTCTGCTCCCATTAAAATTGATAGCCTTGGCAATCTTTTGGTGCTCTACTCTGGCCCCACAGGATCACGATATGAGTGAGAATCAACTGGTCAATGAAGAGTTTGTTATTTCCAAAGACTTATTTTCTCAGTAAATAACTCAGGACTCTGCTTTCATCTAGCAGACCTGGTTGTTCTGTCATCCTAACCTAACACAGATGATGTTCCCCTGAAACAATAAATACACTGTTGCTGTGAGTTGTTGCTGAGTTGATTCCAACCCAAGGCAGTTCTGTATTCTCGGTATCACGTTCCTACCATATCTCATCCACTATCATATGCTTCCAAGCTGCTTCTCGGTGGGTTCAAGCTAACCAACCTTTTACCAAATAGTTGAGGACTCAACAATTGCTATCAACTGATGGTTTCAAACTGTTAACTGTATGGTTAGCAGCCCGACTCATAACCCACTACACAACCAGGGCGCCTCATAAATAGATAACTTCCTCTAAAATGTAATTTAGAGGATTTAATATGAGATTCATGCAACACTTGAACAATCACTTCTACTTCTCCCTGCTCCTCCTCATATACAAACACGCTCAGAGCATAAATCCATTTTCTACAAGGCAATTTGTTTTCTTCTCACCTTTGTCTGCCCTTTGTTACTTAACAATTGGATCTAAACAAGCTTTCTTTTTTTTTTAAATCATTTTATTGGGGAATTTGTACAACTCTTATCATCATCCATCAATACACTGTCTCAAGTACATTTGTACATAAGTTGCCCTCGGTTTTTTTGGTTGCTTTTTTAAATCATTTTATTAGGGGCTCATACAACTCTTATCACAATCCATACACACATCAATTGTGTAAAGCGCATTTGTACATTCATTTCCCTCATCATTCTCAAAACATTTCCTCTCCAGTTAAACCCCCAGCATTAGGTCCTCATTTTTCCCCTCCCTCCCCGCTCCCCCTTCCCTCATGAGCCCTTGATAGTTTATAAATTGTTATTTTGTCATATCTTGCCCTGTCTGACGTCTCCCTTCACCACCCACTTTTCTGTTGTCCGTCCCACAGGGAGGAGGTCACATATAGTTCCTTGTAATCGGTTCCCTCTTTCCTACCCACTCTCCCTCTACCCTCCTTGTTTCGCCACTCTCACCACTGGTCCTGTAGGGCTCATCCGTCCTGGATTCCCTGTATTTTCAGTTCCTATCTGTACCAGTGTACATCCTCTGGTCTAGCCAGACTTGCAAGGTCGAATTCGAGTCATGGTAGTGGGAGCGGGGAGGAAGCATTTAGGAACTAGAGGAAAGTTGTATTTTTCATCGTTGTTACATCGCACCCTGACTGGCTCATCTCCTCCCCGAGAGCCCTCTACAAGGGGATCTCCAATGGCCTACTAATGGGCTTTGGGTCTTCACTCCGCACTCCCCCTAAACAACTTTTCTATCTTTGACTTAATTCCTATTCACAGTAACTAAAGAACAGACCTGCCCAATAGCATTTCTAAGGCTATAGTTTTTTCAAAAACAAATTGCTGCCTCTTTCTTCTGTGGCGCCTTGAGAGTTTTCACAACACCAACCTGTTGGTTAGCACTGAGTGCTTAACCACTGTGTGACCAAGGCTCCTTACAAGTGGTTGGAGGCTATGTTTTATCTCCAAAGTATGTTGAAGCTAACACAGGAAGTTTTAAGTGTGCCATGTAATGATAAAAGATTAGCATATATCTGAGACAGTGACAGCAATAAGATACACACTAATGTGGACTGCCTGTATTTTATTATCCTATACAAAGGGAGGCCACACATCTATGAAAAAAATTTTTTTTTAACAAAAATCTTTTTTAAGCATTCAGGCAATCTACAAAAAGACAGCAAAGATTGGTTGGGGATACTGTTACTACAAGAATGGACAATAGTACCTTAGCTGGCGGTGGTGTTGAGAAATTTAGCCAAGCAGGAACAAAGTCATGCTGCGCCATTTAGGTCCAGTGTCTCTTTTCAGCAAAATGAGGCATCCAACCTCATGGCCAGGATCTGTAAACAAAAAGCTACAATCATTTATGCTGGCAAGAACTTGATGCCCTAGTCATAAAATGGTCATAGCTAGAAAGACGAGTGAGCTCATCAAGATAATAAGCCAAATACATAATTTTAAAGTGCTGTAAAACATCCTCTGAGCAGTCAACTTATCCTGATTGCTAGTTTATTGAAAGAATTGTCCTCTGAACCTCTCTAGCCTATGCACTAGGCTTCATAAGTGAGTCAACTCATAAAAAAGTACTAGTTCACGAATATACAATCATGAAAAACATACACAGAAAAATGTGACATGGTTCGGGAAGGGTGTATGATGGAAGTTAATGTTCTTGAGTAACATCAGATGAACCTAAGAATAGACAGTTACTGAAGTATCTGAGACTCAGGGAGAGAAATTAATCTGTTGCAGGTGCTCAGGTAACTTCTGGCAAAAGCTACATAAGAGCTATTCCTAGAGGAGAAATATGCAATCTCTCAAGAACTTTTCTATTTAGTTCATGTAATTTCCTCAAAGAACAACTAGCATCAGTTTTCCCAAGAGATCTTTTGGTACCTCTCTAAGCTATCCCACTGATATCCTAAAAGAGTAAGATTCCAAACCGCTCGTTATTCTTCAAAACTAAATACACTAGGAAACCAACAGATATTTCCCAGAATACACATACACACACAGTTCTCGTGGAAAGACAGACATAAGGAGAATATTTACCCCAGAGTGGAACCTCTGTGGTCCTCTTTCCAGAACTTGAGTCTGACAGCTGGATCTCTCGTGAGGTGCTCTTGGTAAGAAAGGTGCTTAAGTAGCTTGGCCAGCAGCACACCTTGTGATGAAGCACAAAGAAGCTAGGCTCTGAGGATCACTTTCTCAGTCCCCTCAATCGTTCATCTCAAACTATCTAGTAGTTCCCAATACTTTTTCAAAGGGGGATGGGTCGAGGGAAGTGGAGAGGGGAACATAAAATAGTTTTTTTTTTAAAAATAGTATTTGTTACATTTAAAAAAGGGGAGGAATGGGAAAGAGCTATGTTTATGTTCACCTCATTCAACTTCCTTGAGTAAAGGCACTATGCAGCTGCTTACTCCCTGGCGGTCTAATTATGTCAGTAATTTTGTACCCAAAGCGGTACACTGTTTTGCATAAAATCTGTTATTTTATATTGTAGGCCTGTAATTCTAAAGAAATTACTCATTTTAATCTCTCTAGTAGATGTTCCAGGTATGATAAACTTTAAGACACAAAAGCATAAATTAGAATATAATAAATATATAATGATTTTTTTCCAATAATGTGATCATATCAAAAACACTGCAATTTTTCAAAAAGGTGCAACATCAAGAGTGCATGCAATAAAAATCCCAGGTGTGAAAAATTTTGAAACATGGGACTGCACAAAGTCCGCCGTCACAATCAGGACAATGGAACCTGGTTTCCTCTCGTATTCTCTGTCCACTGCCATCTCGCTTTGAGCAACAAACCACACACATCCTCGTAGGTGCTGACTTTTGTTCAGTGGGTGGGATATAGTCTAGTCCATGGGTTGACAACGTCAACAGCGCGATCTCCAGGTCTATTCACAGCCATTGATGGTGTCTGGTGGTTCACAAAGATCCGTTCAGCAACTTTCCAAATGAAGTCAGAATGAACCAAAGGCTTGTCACTCTTTGCTCTGTGCAAAATGTAGGCATTCCACCAGCACTGCTCGAGAGGATACCTGAAGGTCTTCTTGTAGTATTTCTTTTGCTGTTTCCACATTGCTGGGAAGAATGTAAGTGCTCTGTCGGCTCTGTCGACACCGCCCGTGGTTTTACTGTAATCTATCACTGCTTGTGGCTTCATGGCTTCTTTCCCACCTTCCGTGCGTTCCATAACAGTTGCGGTGCTGTGAACTGTGCTCATTAGGCACACATCTTTCGTGTCACGCCATCGCAGTGCC